AGCTGTGATCCATAAAGGGAAGGTGCGTAGAAACATGCGTACGCACGGTTTTATAAATCTGATTTTTTTTTTTTTTTTTTTTTTTTTTTTGGCGTACGCCATTTTCGCCTTTTGGCCGTATGTTCACTTTGGTTTCCACGCAATCTTTTATAAATCTGACCCCAGAACATTCCAGCTGCACTGAACTGCAGATGCCACACAGGATGAACCCGCTTCTGTCTGAGTCCTGTTAGGTTTGAAGTTCACCAGGATGTTGTGCTCAGAGTAAATTCTTCTGAGTTTCTCAGATATCCAGCAGATATCCAGTTTCTCAGATTACACTGAAAATATTTTTGTGTTTGTTGATCTCTATGTTCTTTTCTGTGGTGTGTTTTCTAGTTTTCCTTGTTGAATTGACAACAATGATATTCTTGTTTTTCCCCTTCCCTTCTGTCCTGTGTGAGACAATGTCTGTCTCACAGACAGACAGTTTGTGTTGCAGTGAGTGTTGAAACAAACAGAAAATACTGATCTGTGTGGGTTAGATTCCAGTCAACTTCAATGTTGAGGCTTTCATCTTTTTTTCCTGTGCATCAAACAGTCCAAAAAAAGGCAGCTTGTTGTTGTTAGTGTTTTCTCTGGTGAATTTGATGCTGTTAATGGCAAAGTTGATGTGTCTGGTGAGCATATCTACTGACTTAGCTTGGAATTTGACTCAGGTATTTTCCACATGTACAGTGAGGGAAATAAGTATTTGAACACCCTGCGACTTTGCAAGTTCTCCCACTTAGATATCGTGGAGAGGTCTGAAATGTTCATCTTAGGTGCATATTCACCGTGAGAGACATAATCTAAAAAAATAAAATAAAAATCCGGAAATAACAATGTATGGATTTTTAAATAGTTTATTTGTGTTACTGCTGCAAATAAGTATTTGAATACCTGCCAATCAGCAAAAATCTGGCCCTCAAAGACCTGTTAGTCCACCTCTAAAAAGTCCACCTCCACTCCACTAACTTTATGAAGGAGTCAGTTGTCATTAAATTATTGGTAATCTAAAGGGACACAGCAAAAACCATCCTGCACAGCTACTGTAGCTTTACAACCATGTTGGAAGATGGACAGATCAGTCAATACATTTTTTGGTTTGAAAATAATACAGGAAGCAAATGAATTGGAAATAAGTAATTTAAATATCAGTCCAACTGTGCCATTGTCAATAATTCCACCGTGGATTATAGCGGAAGCAAATGTAGATTTAACTTTGTTACACAGAAGGCAAGCAGATAAAACATTCATTTGTGACTCAACAATAGTACATGAGTACATAGATAAATTTTATGATTATGCTGAAGTTTACACAGATGCATCCCAGAATCAATCAGGGGATACAAGGGTAGCAGTCATAGTTCCAGAATTTAAAATTCAAATAGGGAAGAAGCTGAATGAAGGGTTATCTGTTTACACAGCAGAAATGGTTGCAATAATGTTGGCAATGGAATGGATTGAAGATGTAAGACCTTTAAGAGCTGTCACATGCTCTGATTCAAGCTCATCTTTAATAAGTATACAAAGAAATCATTCAGAAAGTCATCCAGATATTTTAATAGACATACAGCAAATACTATATCGGATACAGATGATGGGGTTAATTCTTGTGTTTTTATGGGTACCTGTACATATAGGGGTGAAAGGAAATTAAATAACAGACAAGAACGCAAAAGATTCTGCAAGGAAGAATGAAGTTAATATAAGAGTTTCATTTAGTAAGTCAGAGACTAAAAACTTTACTAAAAGAAAAATTAGAGAAAAAGGCAGAAGAAGTGGGAAGAGGATGTAAAAGAAAGATGGCTCTATAGAATTCAAAGAATGGTTGGAGAAAGTAGAAGAGGTGTTGGAAGAAATAGACTACAGGAAAGAATAATAACAAGGTTACGGTTGGGTCATACGGGACTTAATGCAACGTTACATATAATGGGGAAACATGATACAGGAAGATGWGTTTTGTGGGGAAATTGAAACTATAGAGCATGTTAAGTTAACCTGTAGGAAGTACCAGAAAGAAAGAACTGAAACGATAAGAAGTCTTGAATGAGAAAAAGAGCAATATAATATTTTAAAGTTATTAGGAAAAAGATATTTTGATGCAAGTCATAAGTTTATGTTTCATTATCTAATAGTAATGGGGTTAATTAAAAGAATCTAGTTTTTTTTTCTTTGCTTGCTAGTCCTAGTTCACACTCCTTACCGGTGGTGGTGGTAATGAACCAAATGTTGTTTG